AGGATGATACCAGGGGCTGGTGCAGTTGATACTAAACGGACACTGTGAAATAGCTTTTCTTTTCCTCCTTCCTAAACTCCACTCCAGTTTTACCTCTTGGATGTGTAATCTGGCTGCCTATCAGAAGCCTTTGGATTCTCTCATCGGTTGTTCCTCCCAAGTTGAGCCCAAGTTCCTGGTCCCATGGGGATGAGAGACGACTGAGTCCTGATTTGTGAGCTCGTGGAGTTAGTGTCATCAGTGGAGGAAGCTATTTTTAAATCAAAAGCAAAGGAAGAGAGATGGATACGGTAAAAGTGCCTAGGAGGAGAGAAGCCTGAGCTGAATGGGAAGGAGCTTGTCTAGAGGGAAGAGGAGGGATTTCTGGAAAGAGAAAGTGTTGGAAAGGCAAGGGTGTTGGACACGAAGCTGGCTCATGATTCCAGTTGGTTGGTTTGAGTCTGGGTTCTTCACCTCAGGATTAGCAGCAGAGTTAGAAGTTTAGGTATTTTCTGCTTCTTGCTTTTAATAGGAAATATCCCCTTTAGGCTTCTCCCTGCCCCTCTGGGGCCAACAGTGTCCCCCGGGGTGATAGAGAGTCTGTAGGTGAGCAGAAAGGGCACTGATGCCCACCAGCACATTACAGGATTCCTAATCCTGCTTTCAGTGTCTTTGTGGACATCTTGCCAAATGGAGATGTTGAAGACTCTGGTCTTCTGCATGAGAGTGACAGGCTCTGGTTATCCCCAGATCAAGCTCTGTCTCTCTGCTGTCATTGATTCAGTCAGCGGCCCCAAGAATGGATGAGAGGCTCCCCAGGTGCCCTGTTAAACTCAGTGAGTCAACCTTAAAAAAAAGGCCCAGAAAGAGACAATGAAAATCTTAGATTTAGCTTGTAAATATATTTGAACTTTAAGCACATGAATTCCCAGTTGTAAACAACTGACAGAAGGAGGATCCTTTAAGCATAGTTGGTTGGGAAAAGCACTATTTTTAGCAAAGAAAATAGAGTTCTTTAAAAAGTATTATAATTCAGCTATATTTGTTCATCTCTCTGAGGGTCAGGTATTTTGCTAAGTATAAGGATAAAAAAAAAGATGAGTAAGATTTGGTTCTGCCCCAGAAGGATTCTATAGGGTAGACCCATATATAAATAGGAAATCGTCATACAGAATGACAAAAGTTCTACCAGAGAGATTAAAAAGAAAATAATAAGAACATAGAAGAGGAATAATTAATTCACTCCTGGGGCGTGGGAAGACAGGAGGTCACTTTTAAATTATGCAGAAGTGATACAGAGAAAGTTTAATATTTTTTCAAGTCAAACCATATGAAATTACTAACATTCAGTCCTGTTTGACATAAAAAGGTCAGTTTCATATGATTTGACACAACACTAAGACAGGATTAGCATGAAGGGTTTACTCCCCCTTGTCAGCTCTAATCACAGTGCTAATAATTGCACATCAGTTGTGCTGAGAATGGTCCTGAGGCTCATAGGCCAGTAGGAAAGGATAATATTAAAATTGATTAAAAATATCTACCCCAGCTAAAGAATGGGTAAAGAACAATATCACCTGACCCTGTGTCCTTGCTTCAAGTATAAGGAGTTTACTAAGGCTTAGGTGTCCAAGAAGTGCAGAACGTCACCAGACTTGCACACTTGGGTTCCTGTGAACTGGAGAGAGATGTTATCAGTTGAGGTTCTGAGGCAGATAAAAGACTCCACTTGGGGATCTTTATTTAAAGGCTATGTGTATGCTGCATTGGGAAGTGCTCTGAATGACCTTACAAACACTTTTTATACCACAGTCTGTGCCTTATTGTCTATGTAACTTACTTTTGTCAACAAATAAACATTACCCACCCCTACCCTCAACATACATGGAGGTTTGCTGTTCTTCTCTGTTGCTTTCTTTCTGTTGACTCCAAAGCTCCTTTTTAGGAAAGGCCACAAAGTACTAAGTGAACATACTATAAGTACTTTGCAAATTAAATTAGAGAATGTTTTTAGGGAACACAGACACCAAATCTTGTGGCTGTATACATTTTGTTTTGCAAAGGTCAAAGTAGTTGCATAAAGATTTTTTTAAACTACTAAGAAAATATTCAAAGAAGTAATTTCAGTCCTGTTTCTCAGGATCCACAGCATAAGAGGAATTAGGAAAGCTTCATTATGCCCTGCCAGGATTTAGCTTTCTATATAGAATCTCTGTTGTATCCCAGCGGAATTCAGTAAGTTGCATTGAGTATATTGAAAATTGACCCAAAGGTTTTAACTGCACAATACTTAAATGTCCTTCTCGATGTGTTTTTGCTGTAATTAGATGATTTTTCTTTTGAAATCAAGAAACCTACAATCTCATTTTAAAAGTGGTTTTTAGCCAGGGATGCATAGAAGAGAAAGTTTGAGGAACTTTCTCAGAATCCTTCAGCCAGAGTCCTGTCCTGGAGAGCTTTGACTTGGTGGTTCTCTGTGTGTTCTATGGAAACACGAGCTTCTCTCTAATATTTTTAGCAATAAGAAAATCATATGCACGGCCTCTGCAGAGTCATCCCGAACACCTATTGAAAAAGAGTACTTTTTGCATGGGATTATTCAGTGTTCTCCTCGTGGGCAAGTTACTTCTCACTGGTTCATTTCAGACCCCCACTCTCATCTCAGATTTGATTTGTTTGCTCTTAGTGCCTATGACTCTACCAATCACCTGCTAGCATTGCTAAAAATGTACTGAGGAAAAATTAGATCAGGTGAAGACTCTTATGTTACGACAAACTTAAAGTGAAGTAGAGAGAGCATATGTTGAGCAAAGCTTGGTCAAGACTCTTAGACTCTTAGGATACTTACTGTCAAGAGCGGATCAGGTGCCAGGCCTGGTGGATCATGCCTACCACCTCAGATATGCTGGAGACAGGATCAGGAAGATTGGAAGTTCAAGGCCTGCCTGAGCAACTTGGCTAGACCTGGCTGCAAAATGAAAAGGGCTGGGAATGTGGATCAGTGGCAGCATGCTCCTGTACCCTCTACCCGCAAGACGACAGTTAACTTTGCCTGTATGCCTGAACCAATATGGGGGCCAGGATTGTGGGGAGAGCCGGTGGGGATGGCTCTTCTCCAGCTTTAAGCATAGCATAGACGAGTAAAGGTGAGAAGGACTTTCTTACAGGTAGAAATTCTGTCCCAGGGAAATTTTTCCTTATGAAAGACTGGTTAGACCTGCTGATGGGGGAAAAGATGAGATGCCTGTGGAATGTTAATTAAATGTTTATTTGACCGAAATAATGTCCCAAACTTAAAGGAGCACAAGGAGCAGAGATAGAAGGTTTGGGGGAAGGCTTTTCCTACAGCTCTTCTTTTTAACATTTAAAAAAATTTTATTACTATGTGTTTGAAGTACATAATGATTATATTCCTTGTAGGAACTTGCTGTGTGTACACACACCACAGTTCCTTTTTCTCTTCCCTTAACCCCTCCTTCTTTTTATGCCCCCTTCTTTTTTTGTGATCGGATCTGTGTGGGAGGCTAGAGCGCAAGTCAGGAGAGAACAATGGAGAATTCTTCACTTTCATATCTCTATTTGGTGGAACCCCAAGGACATGGAAAGGTTTTTTAAGTTACGTCTTCAGCCCATTTGTTTTTTGTTGTTTGGAATTTTTGTTTGTTTGTTTTGGGGTTTTTGTTTTGTTTTGTTTTTTGGGGTTTTTTTGGGTTTTTTTGTTTTGTTTTTTTTTTGTTTTTTGGGGGGTTTTTTTTGTTTGTTTGTTTGTTTTTTTTGAGACTGGGATCTCTCTAAGTACTTAATTACTCAGGCTGACACAGCTTGCAATTCCCCGGTCTCAGCTTCCTGGAATGCTGGGATTGCAGGTTAACTACACTTTTGTTTATGTTGGGAAAGATACAAAAAAATTTCAGACTCTTTCCCCATGGGGAATGCCCAGGAGGTGGGTAAATTGCTAATCCTGGGGGTGTACTTGTAAGACAGATTTCTTCTCATGGTTTTGGCTGAGGATACCTAGACAAGAGGGAACAAACAGAAGGCATTGCTAGTACGCATGGTAGTGTTAAATTTCCTCAAAAGGGCCTCTCTTCCTTTTCAGTCTTTAAGCCTCAACCTCATAGCAGGAGAAGATTCCTGACCCCTGTTGTGCTCGGATTGGGTGGTGGTTCTAAGCGAGGCATAGACATAAACGGAGGAGATACCCCAGGACTCTACTGCTCCTTTTTGCTGTAAAATTCCATTTTGCAAGGATAAGCACAGTGCCTTTTGCTTTCAATAAGGCAAAAGTTTCACTGCCGTCCCTGCCGTGCAGCCACTGGCTTCAGCCTCTGCAGCAGGCAGGCAGGTGGCAGCTCTGGGGATGATACTGGAAATTGAGAGGCCAGAGATCCTCTCTCTGCAGGTCCCGTGGGTTCAGGGTGGGTGATGACAGAGATGGCAGACGTTGCGTTCATTTGTGCCCCCCTCTTGTTTTTCCCTCTGAAGAACTGATCTAGAAAGACTAGGGCAAGGAGAAGTTTTCTCTAAACATATTGCTGCATGTATTGACTGTTTATTGAGTCATTGGTCTGTGGCAGCCCCTGCTGTGGGCACACCTTTTGGAGGTAGGTATATTTACCCTTGTTTTTCAGATGGAAATGCTGAGACACAGAGAGGTCTAGTGACTTACCGAGAACACACAGTAAAGGAGTGTTAAAGTCAAGCTTACTATTTTTTCCTCAGTGTTCCTCAAGTTCCCTTTTGATTATGCCCTACTGCTTCTGTTCCTGACCTGAAACTGAGGTCAGATAGACCTCATTACTGAAACCCCATGTGAAAGTTTGGGACCACAGGCTTGGTGGGCTGGGGGTGGGTTTCCAGCAATTCCCTTTGGCTGAGGCAGGGGCTTCCTTGGGTGTGTCCGTCCTGCGCTGTGGGATGTGGCTGTATGTTCATTTCTCTGCCTTTCCTGTGTGTGTGCTGCACTCTCAAGTGCAGTGTGCCTGTTCCCAAACCAGACGCCATCTCTCTCTCTCTTGTAGGCACGGTGCTGTTGTGCCAGGCAAACCAGGAGGGATCTTCCATGTACACTGCCCCCAGTTCACTTGTATATACTTCCGCAAGTAAGCCCACTGTCCTGGCTCTCTTTGTTTTGTGACATAAATCTGAGTCCAATCACCTTCCCTGCCATGTAAGTCCCCCCGTCCTCCCTCCCTTGTGGCTCTCTGCAAGGTAAACTCGATCTTCACCAGCATGTCTGTTTCCCCATTGCCTTAGCATCTGACTCCCTCTGCCCATTCCCATGCACATGCCCGACCTCACTTCCCAGGTGCCTCCGCCATTTTGCATTGTACCTGCCAGGCTTGGGTCCAATGGATGGGATGTGGGTTGGGAAGAGGGTTCTGGGGGTTCCTCCAAAAGGTGCCCTAGCCTAGCAGAAGAGGCTGGATCAGTCGTTGTGAGCATGGCATCCTCGCTGTGGGAAATGGGACCAGCCTGAGGCTGGTGACTTGTTTGCAAGGTTATTCTGTCCTTTGCTATGTAATTCCAATGAGGAGGAGGAGAAGGAGGAGGAAAGAGAACTGTGGGTTCTCCCCACTTAACTGGGGGAAGCCATATCAATTTGCTTTTTAAAAGTAAGTATTTCAATCATGTATATAGGTAAACATAGATGCCAAGTGCTAGAGGAGGGAGACCAAAAAGAAACCTGGAGGATAGATCACAGTGTTCATGAGGAAGAACCCAAATTCCCTTGCTGGATGGATGCGCTGGGTGCAGAGTGCCACGCCCTGCCCTACCCCACCCCATCCCTGGAGCAGGTTGAACATTAAAGCAGCGCCAGCACCTCATGACGTTAGACACAGGCTGAAGGGAGTAGGGAGAGTAGAAATTCCAGGCTGATCATCACCAAGGGTATGAAAGACAGAGATGAACCCCAGCCTCCACAAGACAGCAGGCTTCTCCATCCTCCAAGTGTGAGACCAACACAAACCTGTCACAGGACACCAAGAGCACGATGAGGAGGACGACCCCGAGGTGTGCAGTCTCCAGGAAGTGGGGACAGGCAGTGGTTGCTCCCAATTAGCTTATCTTCATTGGCAGTTTTGGCACTAACGGATGAAAGGTATTTTTCCCCCATGCTCTGAGAACCCAAACATCTAACCATGTTGGTGAGAAGTGATTCTTTCAAAGTTTATGAAAGTTATCCTATCTGGGTGATTGTCCATATGTATGTGTCCCTGTCTCCCGGGGTTATCATGCTATTACATGTTTGGGTACTCAGCCTTGTTTATTCCTCTCAACACCTGCAACAGGTAAGGTCTCACAATGCTTGTTTTACAGATGAGGACATGGAGTAATTCACTCAAGGTCACAAAGCCTGTTTGTTTTTTGTGTGTGTTTGTGTGGTGTTTTGTTTCTGTTTTTGTTTTGAACCTGGGATAGTCAGCCAACCTTTGGTTGTCTTTTAAATGTATTTGACTTTAAATCTCTTCATCATCCCATTTACCTGCCTGCCCTTTTTTTCTCTATACGTGTTTTCTGAAACAGTTGGTGTACAGGGTCGAGCCCTGGGGATTATTTTATTTTTCCCCTAGCACTGTTGTCCTGTAAAGCCGTCTGAAAAGAAATCTTCAGTATCTGAGTTCAGGACAGTGCTCATACACCTCACTGGTACTGTCTTGTTTTAGTCAGTGCTGTATTAACTGGCTACACAGGGCGAATGGTTACCATATCGACAGTATGACTTTGCATGATCATATAACATATTTGTATTTGTTCTCTTTACAGAAATAAAAAGTAATGACAAAAAGTGATAATTTGAATATATATAGATATATATAGATATATATATATATATAGCTATTCTAAAGCAAAAACATGGAAATATCCCACAAATTCTCCACAATAAAATAATAAAATAAATAGTCAAAGAAAGAGGAGATAAAAATTATATAACATGAGGGTTGGCAGATGAAAGCCATAGACAAAACCCAGCTTACATCCTGTTTACCAAAGCTCTTGAGCTCTGGATGCTTTTTAAAATTTCTAAGTATTTTAAAAGCAAAATGAAAATAAGAACGTTATAACAAAAACACGGATGACCAACAAAGTCCAAAATATTAGCAAACTATCTCTTTGCAAAAAAGTGCACCAGACATTGATTGAAAGGGTCAGTTTATTATTAAAAACATAAATTTGCAATATTACCATATATAATTATACTTTTTTATGAGTTTAAAAATGTATAAGTTTCACTGAAACCATATACCCGACATCTTTCCTGTTTAAATCACATTGCCAGTCAAATCACCTGCACATTTTTCATCTTTTTTTCACTATACTTCATTAGGTTATATTTTAATCTTATTTATCGCCATTGTTGAATGTTGAGATTCAATGAAATTTTTTACCAATATATTAAAGCCAATGACCTATTATATGGCAGTTTTGAAGACATTTACTAATCCCTCAATCCTATTTTTTAAAATACAGAAAGTAGTTTCTTGCAGTAAGGATCTTCAGTGGTCACTCCCTTACAAAATGGTATTTAGGTTAAAAAGCTCAGTAGAATCCCACATGGTGTCCACCTCTGGGACCTGTCCTCTACACAGATAGCAGCAGGGCCTGGAGAAATTTTCACTCTGAGGCTGTGCAGTAATTCTGCTGCACGGAAAATTCTCCACTATCCCTGGGTTTCACGAGGCTTCCTTTCTTGAATGTCGTGGCTTTTGATCCAGGCTATCTGTAGGTAGCTAGAACCTTTGCATGGTTTACTTGGGTTTTCTTTGCAAGATTAAGGTGCACGTTCTAGCACAAAGCCACGTCTCACTTCCAGCTGTTCACCCAACATAGAAAAGGTCATTTTTACATGTGTCTGTGTGTACAATGGTGAGGACGCCCAGGGTTACCCAGGGACCCCCTCCAAGTCTGCTGTATGCAGGACGGAGAGCCCCAAACCTTGTTTTTGAGATATATTTGGTACACACTTATTCTCTAAGAATCTAACCATCCTCCCCAAGCAGAGGCTTCTTTACTTTTTTACTCCCCAGCAAACTTTTCGGAGCCTCTTTTATTTTTTATTTTTTATTTTAAAAATTCATGTGTTTCCCATTACTACTTAACAGTTTGCCTGGGGGAAAAAAAGGTGTGCGTAAGTGACACTTTTGTAAATGTGTCTCTTAACTTCCAAGATTACTCATGAGTTTTAGTTTTTGTCCCTCCTCCCCACAAAAAATAAAAACCTTCAACTGGCCTTGGATGTTTTAGACTTAAGTTGCTCTCCTTCCTAGCGAAATAGCTAATCATCTGTAAATAATATCCTTAAATACACTAGGGGAGATGGCTTTTTAAGGAACCCTGCTGAGATAGTCTATAATAAAAATAATTCCTACTACAGTTTCTACTTTTTTACATTAATTCCCTCTTAGGTGAATATTCCTAATATGGCCCAAGGCACATGAAAGCATTAAGAGAAAGATTTTCATTCAAACTGTGTCCCGTAGATTTTTCCCATTTGACCTCTATTTCCTTCTTTTTCCCCAAACCTTATGCCGGCTTGAAATCCTAGTTTGAGGGTCATGGGACTTGTGTATTCTCTTACATGCCCTAGTAAATCAGTGTCATCAAGAAATACAATCCATATTAAATGAAGCTGGAGCACTACCCCAGGAAATCAGGCAAGATCACTTTTTCACATTTACCAAATGTGAAATGTTTATTGGTATTATTAAGTAAATTTTGAGCGCCAAATAATATAACCTCTTCCAGGAAGGGTGTAGTCAAAGTGATAGGGCTGGTGGCTTGTTTACTGACCACCTCATTCCTCAGGCTGTGAATGGTCAGCTCCTCTTTTCCAGGGCAAAGGCATTAGCTGGAATACTGCCCACACTGTTTGGCTATGGCACAAGCTTAACGTCAAATTCAACTCGAGGCAGAACTCTGAAGGTAAGGCAGATTACTCCCTTCCAAGTTAAAGCATGCCTTCCACTTTTATTAGTTGGAATATCAAGAAATGGATCATGGTGTCTATCAGTGATAAAGTCCACTTCTGGCTTGAATTAGTGAAGTGAGCGATCACTGATCATTTCTGCATATGCTGGAAATGTTTCTAGAAGCAGTTAATTGTTATCTGCTTTGTTTTGGTTTCCTGCAAATTTATGAAAAGATTATAAGTTAGAAAAGTGACAGGCACTTATGGTAACCAATGAAGCGTGCAAATAAACATGCACGATTGTAATAAGATAGCAATAATACATACCCCTCAAATAATCCACGTGCTTCGAGTACCTGTCCTCATTTTATCTATAATTAAATAGGAAGGACCCACCTGCAGCTGGGGGCATTAATGTTTTCATTTTATGCAGAAGGGCGTGTACATACGAGCCTATACTATAAGTTACATGCACATCATATGTTTTGGCCATGTTCAGTTTCTCTTAATATTATGTGACCATCTCCCATGATGAATGAAGCCTTTTTGATATTGTCATTCTGTTTCATAGAGCAGATGGTCAACCATTCTCAAGCCAGAGTCACCCGAGCTACTTTTCTTCACACCCTTTATAAAGTATGCAAGAGACATCTTTACAAACACCCCAACAGACCAGGGCTCCCAACATTCTCTTCCACAATTGCATTTCTGCTCTTCTGCAAATTAGATGGGTGGAAAATACCATCTCTGTGTCTCCTTTGCATTTGTCTAGCTCTTACTTAAAAATATTTTTTTCACATACTCCGTTGTCATTTGAACTTTGCCTCTTGTGAATTTCCACTATTTTTCCTTCTGCCTCTCTTCTGAGATTTTTTTCATTGTGTTAGGCATTAGGGAAAATAATATGCGAAGGTTATGCATATGGGAAACATATTTCCTATTTCGGTCATCCTCGCTCAAATTCCATTATACATATGTAATTGTATACATAAATAGATCTAACATTTCCCTTGTTTTCAGATAACATTTCATATTACAGAATCACTTCCAGCAGCACATTTTGCTTAGTACAATGTGCAAGCCACGCTAACAAATACTATGGAGGGGGAGGCCTACACAAGACATTGATTTTCTCACTGTTTTGGAGGAATAAAGGTGAAGAGCAGGTTCCATTGCGCCTTCCAGTGAGAA